TGATTTAGCATGACTTTTCTCACTCTTTTTCCCTACAAACGTCGAGTTTTTATAACCTTAAAAAGTTTAGCCATTGCAGAATTTAATGCAGTTTTGATAAAGTCTGCAAAACCTAGAGGAATGGTCATTCCATAATTGCGAATGGTCGTTCTTGACACAACGGACATTTTTCTTAGATCTAGGTTAACTGAAATGGCCATTCCACCATGTCATATGATCATGCAAGGACACTACATGGTCATTCCACCATGCAGAATGAACAAACACATCTGATGTTTTTCCAAATCTTCTTAAATTTCTAAAGGAGTGAACGACCTCTTGGAATGATGTCGTGCAAAACTTCTTCAGATATGAACGGTCATTCCACCACAAGGAACGATCGTTCCAACTTTGAACCTTGAGTTTTGACTTTGACCTTTGAGATGAAGTCAAGAGCACGAAGCGATCTAAATTTGAAATATCTGGACTTTTAAACTTGAGCGCATGGTTGTGTAGGATGGTCATGCGAGTGCAGTCTAGTTGTACGAGTGCAACTTAACTTGGCAGAGAGACTAACGACCAAGAGGAACGATGTCGTGCAATATTACATGACAACTTTCTCTTATGTCACGGTCGTGCCTTGCTTGAGCACTGCCATACCTAAGCAGAAATTTGCTTACGCACAATCATACTACCTGATAAACTTGTTTCGGTTTAGTTATGACATATGTCATACCTTAGCATGTTATGGTTAGTGTTCAATCAACTTTTTGGACATTTTTGGCACATTAAAACACATGAGAGGTCAACAATCTCCCCCTTTTTTTTATGACAAAACTAAACAAAAATTGAGTTTCAAATAAGCATAATAACGTATATTCAACATGCATTTTTATAAACCAAAACCTGAGAAGAGCTCCCCCTTAAATTGTGAACTCTTCTTCCAAATATGCATTTTTCAAACATGAATTTTGAGCACAAGTGTTCCCACTTTCACCAAGCATATTCTCAACAAACACTTCAATATATATACATTCACAAACATACAAACACAAAACAGCTTCAATGTCAATAATCATATTAACACAACAACTTAAACTTAGTTTCCATCTTTTCTCTCCCCTTTTTTTTTATCGATAAAAAAGATATAACTTATAACATGGATGAAAAGAAATGAGTTAATAAACATTCATTTCCATTGATATATTACTAAGAAGTACAAAAGATAAATATAAATGTCCAAAGGACACCAATGTTTTCCAATGTGCAAAATAAAGTAAAAAGTAAAGACATAAACTAAAAGAGTTAAAAAAAAATTTAAAAGTAAACAAAATGTGTAATAAAACAGGAAGTGAGGCTAAAGGTCATGAGGTGGAGATGGAGGAGGAGGTTGAGTAAGAGGTGATAAATGGGCTTGGAGGCTTTGGAAGTTGTTTGAAACTTCTGAAATTTGATTGTTTAGGAGAAGAAAGTGATCCAAGACAATGTTGCTCAACCTGTCGAATTTTTCATCAAAATAGGATGAAACTTTGTCAAACATTTCATTAGCTAAACTGGGAGGCACTTGATCCGATTTCAACTCTTTCTCTTTTCTAATTTGCTACTTCGTCTCCATTGGATGATTCAGTGGCATCTTTATCTCTATCCACTCTTTTAGGAGGGATTAAAACCCATGATCCATTAGCTCTTGGTCTTATCAAACCCATCCTTTGAAGTAAATTGTTATAGAGTTAGTTTGAGTCATTAAATGCTATCTTCTTCTCATAATCTACTCTTGTGATTGAAAGATTTAGATGGTTACAGAAAAAGGTAACAGTTATACCTAAAGGAATTTCTCCATTGTCCTTTTGAATTTCTTCAAGCTTCCTTATCAAAAGAATAATAGAATTTACTTTTGTTCCATTCACTGTTGCTTCCATTAGCTGTAAATCTTTGGTCGTAACTTGACCATTTGACCTTTTCCTTGCATTAAAGGAGTAAGAGATGAATATGTGAAGAAGCCTCATCTCTGGAGTTTTCAACTTTGTTGATTTCGATCTGTGAGGATCATAAGTTCCTATTCCTCCTAAGGTGTGCCAAGCAATTTGGGAGGACCAACCTCTAGGTGGATCCACTAATCCTTCACCGTCACATTCAAGCCATTCAATTAATGTCTTAACATAAATAACATGATTAATGTTTTTCAGCCTAAAAACCATTTGATAACCATTATCAACTTCAAGATTACTGTAAAACTCACTGATAAGATGTTTATAACCAGTTGCCTTTAAGTTAATCAATCTTCTCCATTTCAATTTATCAATCAATTCTAACAATTTACCATCAATTCTTAAAGAACTAATAGTAGATCAATCAAAAGTTCGACCAAGATGCATAACCCTTTCGTTAATGCGCTTGAACTCCATTCTTTGAATTGGATTCTTGAACTCAACTCCATATGGTCCATGCAAATCTCCTAATCTCAGTCTACGGCTTCCACTTGCAGTGTTCTTTGTTCTAGGCAAGGTGTTTGGGTGATTTAAGGTGTTTGGATTGGATTTGGAGTGAACAATTTTGAGAGGTGCAAAGAGCTTTTGAAAATGTTTTTGGCGTCAATGCAAAAATGAGCCGACATTTATATAGAAAACACGAGGCACAGTCATGCAACAGTCGAGCACGATCATTCCACTAATGTTAGGGTTAGGGCAACTGAACTCAATGCACGGTTGTTTGCGATGACCAGCATGGACGTGCTTTGGTTTTTAAAATCTAATTTAAAATTAGTCAATGCTCACGATTGTTCCATTGATAGCCATGATCATTCCAAAACAGACAGTTTGCAAATTTTTTACTCTAATTTGCACACTGATCAGAACATCATCAAAACCAATGTTTTTAATATTCCAATCACTTGGGGAGTTTCCATACTTGAGAAGAAAAAAAAAAAGTTAATTTTGATTTCAACCATAGGATTGTATCATTTTGACTTTTCTTCAATCAAAACACTAATTCCAACATACAAGCACATATTTATCAATCAATTTGTCTCTCATATGTTAAAAATACAAAACAAGTCTTACATGGGAATTGAATATGTTATCATCTTTGTGAAAAGGCTTGCCACTTAGTGATTCTTAAGTCCATCATCTAATGTACCTTATCGGTCCCCTCTGGAGAATCATTTATGGATTTCTCTATACGGGTTATTGCAAAAGCAGATTTTAGAGTACCCAACTCATAATCCTAACCCTTTTTTCTTTGCAATCTGATAGATCGAATCACTAATAGGGTTATGTAAGAATAGTTGTATTTTTTACTTATGCTAAGACAATCACACAATCAATGTATAAAGCATGTTATCACAATCAACTCAAACATATTCTCAATATGCACATAAAAACACATTATCTAAATCAATTTCACATGAAAATCAACCACATAAGATAATGAGTCATACCTGATTTGCATCTATCATTCCAAGCACTCTTCGAATAGTGTATAATCTTTCTTTATCAAGAGGCTTAGTAAAAATATCAGCCAATTAGTGATTAGTATCAACAAATTCAAGCACAATATCACCCTTGCTAACATGATCACGTAGGAAATGATGTCTAATTTTTATATGCTTTGTTCTATAATGATGTATAAGATTTTTAGACAAATTTATAGCACTTGAACTATCATAATGAATAGGAATGCTATGCATTTTGCAACCAAAATCTTCAAGTTGTTGCTTCATCCAAAGAAGTTGTGCACAAAAACTAGGTGCTGACACATACTCAACTTCTATGGTTAAAGTAGCAACTGAATTTAGTTTCTTTAAAAACCATGAAACTAGCATGCTTCCTAAGAATTGACATGTTCCACTAGTGCTCTTCCTATCTATCCTACATCCTCCAAAATCAACATCTGAATATCCTATAAGACTAAAAGATAATCCATTAGGATACTATAAGCCAATATTTGGAGTTCCTTTCAAGTACCTAAGAATTCTTTTAACAGCATTCAAATGAGTTTCCTTAGGACATGATTGGAAATGTGCACACATGCATACACTAAACAATATGTTTGGCCTAGATACAGTTATATACAAAAGTGCACCTATCATGCCTCTATAAAGCTTAGTATCAACACTTTTACTTCCCTCATCAACTTCCAACTTGAGTGATGTGCTCATGTGAGTAGGTTGATCTTTTGCGTCATTCATTTTGAATCGCTTGAGGAGATCATGAATATACTTGGATTGATTCAACAAGATCCCTTCCTTTTGTTGCTTGATTTGTAATCCGAGAAACTAATTTAGTTCTCTCATCATGCTCATATAGAATTCACCTTGCATCATCTTAGAAAATTTCTTACAAAGGATTTCATTAGTAGCACAAAAGATGATATCATCAATGTATATTTGAACTACCAAGATGTCATGTTTATGCTTTTTAGTAAACAAGGTAGTATCCACCTTCCTTTTGAAAAACCATTTTGAACAAGGAAACTACTCAATCTATCATTCCAAGCTCTAGGAGTTTGTTTTAAATCATATAATGCTTTTAAGAGTTTAAAAACATGTTCGGGAGAATTGGGGTTTTCACATCCGGGTGGTTGTTTGACATAAGCCTTTTCTTGAATGAAACCATTTAGAAATGCACTTTTAACATTCATTTGAGTTTGAAATTTCAATGACATGCATAAGCAAGTAACATTCTAATAGCTTCTAATCTAGCAACGAGGACATACGTTTCATCGAAATCAATACTTTCCTCTTGAGAGTAGCCTTGGGCAACTAACCTTGCTTTGTTTCTTACCACTATACCTAGCTCATCCATCTTGTTCCGGATGACCCATTTGTTGCCAATGATTGGATGATCTTTAGGCCTTGGTACAAGCTCCCATACATTGCTTCTCTCAAATTGATTTAGCTTCTCTTGCATTGCTTGAACCTAACTTTCATCACTAAGTGTTTTATCCACTTTCTTAGGTTCAACTTAAGAGAAGAATGCTACGATTTGGCTTGTATTCCTCATTGATGCCCTTGTTCTTATTCCTTAAGTGGGATCTCCAATTATTTGTGCATCTTTCACTTCATCTCTCACTCTTGGAAAAGAAATCTCCCTTATTGTTCTTTGAGATTCCATGAAGGTGTTATCTTCATTTTCAACCTCCTCTTGATGTTCTTCTTCTTTGTTTGGATTTGATGGGGATGCTTCATCATTGATCTCTAGTTCTTTCATCATCTCATCAATCTCTTCTTCATTATTATTTCTTGTATTCTTAGAAGAAGATTTATCAAATAACACATGTATAGATTCTTCAATTGAGAGAGTTCTTTTGTTGAAGACTTTATATGGTTTTGAATGTGAAGAACATCCAAAGAAAGTCGCTTAATCCGATTTGGCATCGAATTTTCCAAGGTTGTCCTTACCATCATTAAGCACAAAGGACTTGCAACCAAAGGGACGAAAATATGCAATATTTGACTTCTTCCCTTTGAATAACTCATAGGGAGTTTTCTTGAGGATTGGCCTAATCATAGCTCTATTAATGATATAATATGAAGTATTAACCCCTTTAGCCCAAAAATATCTAGGTATATCATGCTCACACAACACAGTCCTAGCCATTTATACAAAAAACTCTATTTCTCCTCTCAACAACTCCATTTTGTTGAGGAGTCCGAGATGCCGAGAAATTATGCTTAATGCCATGCTCATTCCAATATGATTCAAACAATGTGTTTTCAAATTCTTTTCCATGATCACTTCTAATGCATGTAATTGCATAGCCTAATTGGTTTTGCAATTTCCTAATCAATGGCAATAATGATTTGAATGCATCATGTTTGTGTGCAAGAAACAACACCCATGTAAAACGAGAGTAATCATCAACAATCACAAAAAAATAATGGTTACCTCCTAGACTAGTTCTCCTTGTGGGATCACACAAATCCATATGCAACAATTGTAAAGGTCTAGAAGTTGAAACAACATTCTTGGATTTAAAACAAACTCTTGTTTGTTTGCCTTTAGCACATGTATCATAAATATGATCTCTTTTGAAAACAAGCTTAGGCAAACTAGTCACTAAATCCTTTTTAGAAAGCTTTGCAATGACATCCATGCTTGCATGACCTACTCTTCTATGCCAAAGCCAACTATCTTCATCTTTTGTAGACAAAAAACAAAGATCTTTGGATGCAATATTACACAAATCAACAATGTAAACATTTGAGCATCTATAACCTATGAATGCAATTCTGTTTGTGCAAGAATCTACAACTTCACAACACATAGATTGAAAAACAATTTTAAAGTCTTTGTCACTCAATTGACTAATGTTTAGCAAGTTATGCTTCAATCCATCAATGAGCAATACCTCATTTATGGTTAGAGACTTGTTACTGATAGAACCAATGCCAATGATCTTTTCTTTTGAGTTATCACCAAAAGTGACATTTCCTCCATTCTTTGGCTTTAATGAGGTGAACAAGCTCTTGTCTCCCATCATATGTCTTGAGCATCCGCTATCAATGAACCATTTGTTTGCTCCCAATTTCGTTGCTTCAAGACATACCTACACAACAAAAATGTTCATGCACTTTTTGGTACCTAAATGGTCTTGGGTCCATGTGAGTTAGTTTCAACAATTCCCTTAGGAGCCCAAACCCTTTTTACCATAAAAGGCTTGTCTTTTCTAATTGGACATTTATGTGTGCTATGACCAACATACCTACAAAAACCATATTTTCTAAAAGATGCTTTTGGTCTAATACATGGTTCATGCGTTTTGTTAAAAGGTTTCTGATTTGAAAACATGTTATAGCCCAAACCTTCTTTGTTGAAAACACATCTCTGTAAAGCAAGCATTTCATCAAATCTTTTACTACCCAAAGTGAACTTGCTTAAAATCTTTTTTGTGTTGTCAAGCTCATTTCTCAAATCAATGTTTTCCTTTTCAAAACATCATAAACAATTCTATAATCATCAATTCCCTTTGTAAAACAATTTTATTACATGACATACAATCAATTTTATTTTTAAACTCTTCAACATTACCCAAAAGTTGCTCATACTCAACTTTCATTATGCATGCTTGATTTTGCAACTTTCTATTCTTTAAAGACAATTTTTCAAATTCTTCCATTAATGATTCAAATGCATTTTGCAATTCATCAGAAGAATAGTGTTGAGAGTCTTTTACCTTGGATTCGAAGTCTCTTTCTGAATCATCTTCTTTGGCCATGAAACAAAGGTTGGCTTGCTCTTCATTTGATTCATCTTCATCTCTTGAGTCACCACTTTCACTCCATGTGGTGGAAAAAACCTTTTTCTTGTAGAATTTGTCTTTCTTACCATTTTTCTTCCATTTGGCTTGGGGACAATCTTAACGAATATGACCGGGCTTTTTACAACCATGGCAAATTATCTTTGATTTGCCCTTATCGTCTTCATTTCTTAGTTTGAACCATTGGAATTGCTTTCCTTTAAACCTTTTGTTCCTTCCAACCTCTTTGCTAAGAAGTTGATTTCATTTTCTTCCATAAAAGAATCATTACCATCTTCTTCTTCATCCACAGTCTTGAGGGCAATCCCCCGCTTTGGCTTATTCTCTTCCTCTTTTGGCTTTCTCTTCATCTCAAATGTTAATAAGCTATCAATGACCTCATCCATTTTCATTTTGGTGAGATCTTTTGATTCCTCAATCGCGGTCACCTTCATTGTCCAACTTTCCGACAATGAACAAAGAATCTTCTTCACAAGCTCAAGAGTGACAAAACTCTTTCCAGGACCTTTGAGATCATTTATCAAGTTGGAGAATCTCTTGTACATGTCGGTGATGCTTTCTTTGGTTTTCATCTCAAACAACTCATAGTCATGGAATGACATCTCAATCTTTGATTCCTTCACTTGACTTGTTCCTTCATGAGAGGTTTGAAGAATTTCCCAAGCATCTTTAGCTGTTTCACATGCCAAAACTCTTATAAACTCTATGGAATCAAGAGGGCAAAACAAAATGTTAAGTGCTTTGTCATTTAAGCTCAATTTATTTTCATCTTCAGCTGTATAATGTTCTTCCTCTTTGGCAAGACCCGTTGAGTTGTTCATGGGAACGAAGTTCCCTTGCTCAACTATGTTCCACAAGTTATCATCTATAGATCTAATGTGGAGTCTCATTCTAATTCTCCATTGTGTGTAGTTTGTACCACTAAACAATGAGGGACTAGTGGTACAATGACCCTCAACAAACAATGGTGTCGATGAACTAGCCATGTAGATCGATTGACTCTTGAAACCGTTAGGTTTTTAATACAAGAGCCCAAGCTCTGATGCCAATTGTTAAACCTTAAATATGATATGACAAATATTCCTAGGGGGGTGAATATGAATCAATAAAAATATTCGTGAAATAAAACTCATCAATGAAAGTTAAAGCAAATGATGAGTTTATCAAAACAATGATCAATTACTAAACTCAACAACCAAAGTATGATAGAGTTAATGATAGTGCAAATGAGCAATAAAAAAAAAAAAAAAAAAAAAAAAAAAAAAAAAAAAAGAGCAATAAATGCAATCAACTTGAAGGTAATAAATATGAACAATGAATGCATGAACAAGTGAAATAAATCAACTTGAAGGCAATAAATATGAACAATGAATGCATGAACAAGTGAAATAAATGATGTTCAACCAACAACTAACAATGAATGATAAAGAGTTGAGAGAGAGAGAAATGCTCAAGGATCCATAGTGGTTCGAAGTTATATCCACAAGTCTCCTACATCCACTTCTTCAAGGCAACCTTCTTGAACTTTCACTAGAATCGGGTTGCACCACTACAATAGTTTTCAAAAGGATTTTTGCCTCACACACTTAGATTTACAAGATTTCGCCACTAAGGAATGAATCAAAGTAGTTTGTGAATGATTGCCTCTTCAAAGTAGGCTTATACACACAATAAGAACAAGTGAACTCTTAAAGGTTTACTAAATCAGTACAAGTGAGTATTTGATTTGGATCTTGAGCTCTAGGGATTATATAAGAATGTATTTTGATTTAGTATGACTATTCTCACTCTTTTTCCCTAAAAATATTGAGCTTTTATAACCCTAAAAAGTTTAGCCATTGCAACATTTAATGCAGTACTAATAAAGTCTGCAGAACCTAGAGAAACGGTCGTTCTATAATTGCAAACGGTCGCTCCTAACACAACAGTCATTTTTCTAAAAATCTAGGTTAACTAAAACAGTCATTCCACCACGCCTATGATGGTGCAAGGACATTGTACGGTAATTCCACCATGTAGTATGATGGTGCAAAAACACTGCACGGTTATTCCACTACGCGGAAGGAACACATCCAAATGCTCTTCCAAATGTTTTTAAATTTCTAGAGGAGTGAACGATCTCTTGGAACGATGCCGTGCAAAACTTCTTCAGATATGAATGGTCATTCCACCACAAGGAATGGTCATTCCAAATTTGAACCTTGAGTTTTGACTTTGACCTTTGAGATGAAATCAAGAGCACGAAGCAATCTGAATTTAAAATATCTTGACTTTTAAACTTGAGCACACGGTCATGCAGGATGGTCCTGCGAAGTCTAGTTGTGCAAGTGCCACTCAACTTGGTAGAGAGACTATCGACCAAGAGGAACGATGTCGTGCAACATTTCACGACAACTTTCTCTTATGGCACGGTCGTGCCTTGCTTGAGCACGGTCGTGCTTGCGTAGAAATTTGCTTATGCAAGGTCATACTACCTAATAAACCTATTTTGGTTTGGTTATGACTTATGTCATACTTTAGCATGTTACGGTTAGTGTTCAATCAATTTTTTGAATAGTTTTGGCACATCAAAACACATGAGAGGTCAACACAATTTGTCGCCCACTTTCTAAGTTAAAGAGCTTTTAGCTTAAAGCGTAGATCGAGTCAAGTATGAATTTAGATTGAATGAGTTGACGTCCAAAAGCTAAAAGTTCGAAGGGATTGTTGTTTGAGATGTTGTACCATCGCCATGTATAGTCATTCGATATCTATACCAAATAGAGGAGAAGGAATTTTGGAATTCCTTGTCTGTGATTGCTTCGAATAGGCTCGAACAGGTCTGGTCGATTGAGGTCATATGTTTCGACTTAGTGTTAGAGTAGGTGCCTTAGAGCTAATCATATTTGACTCTTCATAATTCCATGTTTATCAAATAAAGGCATTTTTCTATATTATGTAAATCATATACTTGTATGATTTGGTATGTGTGCTTAGAAGGGTAAAACTGTGACGAGGGAATCAAGTATTTTAAATCTTAATTATGAGGACCCTATGAGCACATGTGATGGTCATTCTAGAAATGTTCGTAGCCTAAATATTATTCTGACCAAGGGCATAGATATTATGGTAAGATTATCATAGCGTTGAATGACACTACCAAAAGGTAATGACAGATCTCACATTTCAAAGTTGTTTGATGACCACTTTGCTTGGGTGCTTGTTATTTGCAAGTTCACTAGACTGATCCACTAGAGGATTCCATATGGATGGTAACCCTAGTGTCTATGAAATAAATTCTCTAACAAATGGTGGTCTACATGATCCTTAGACTTGAGATCACCGAAACGACTTGTGTACCAATTGGTGTAGTGTGACATTTGCCTAACGTAGTTCTATTTAGGGCTATCAATACGATAGTGGTTGGCTGCATTGAAAAGTATATTGAGACTATGGTGGATCAATATATGATTCATCACTCTTGGGTATAGGAGAGAGTTATCCCACTATGCAATTTGGTTAAATGGATACGACACATAAATCTATGAGCCTAGTCGGATTGAGTCATTACTCAATCTAATTATAATTTAGTCGTTGATCCGATAACCAAATAATAACACATCAGGATAACATGTGAGGTTGACACTATTTCTATGGCTCAACTTGATAAGATAACCGGTCATAAAAAGATTTGATTGTATGATAACCATACCATTGACAGGTATCAGTACTTTGCTGATCCCTATATGTTGGGTGACCGTGATGTCTAACTAGAGACCAATCTTGACATGTGTATAGTTAAAGGATTAATTGGTGGTTAATCGTGATACCACTCACTGCCAACATATTAGGGAGTCTATGGGTCACACACATTTGAGGTAGTTTGAGGATTTTTCATTTAAGGGCTAATTTTGTCCTTTTAGGTAAAAGGGTAATTAGGTAATTTTGCTATGATCGTTGCCTATGTCCAAATTTTATATTGGGATTAAATTAGCAAAATTATGAATTTATTTATTTGTATTAACATTAATGTTTATATTAATAATTAATTAATTAATTAATTAATTAATAATGGTTTTAAATTACCATTATGCTATTCCATTTAGGAATAGGGTTAAACCTACTCCAAAGTGGAATAGGTTAAACTTCCATATAAAAGCAAGTTGTAATTAAGGTTAAACAAGTTTTAGCACATTTTGGAGAAAACAAAAACCCTAGCCATCCACCCCTTTGAGAGAGATTTTGATTTTTCCAATTCTTGTCTAAAAAATCCAAGAGCAATTGATTTAATCTAGTCAATTAAATCAATCGTGAGTGTCCCTACCTTCTTGTAGATATCATAAGTGCAATTTTGTCGTTGGATTGGCTTGCGAAGAGATCAAAGATATTGAAGGAGCCTCCAACGTTAGTAAGGTTCTTTGATCCTTTTATGGATTAATTTTGAGATTATTTTGTATGTAAACGTAATAACCTGTGCCCAGATTCGTTGGGTTTAAAGGATTAATTGAAATTATTTTATTTTCTGCTATGTATCTATCAATTAAATCCTAACAATTAGAGTCGTAGGCTAGTGAGAATGGGGTTTTGCTAGTCAATGTTCGAGCGGTGGTTCGGTAGGACCACAATGCACCTGGTCGTTTGTCGGTCCATGCTCTCTTACCTTTCTTGAGTTACTTCTTTAAAGTATTGATGATCGTCTTGCTGGAAGACTCGATTTAACTATTTGCCTGAGGGTAGCGCGATGTGGAGAAACTTAGTTTGATTTTCCATTTTTTGCATTGCAATCAACAATTTTCCAACGATGTCCATCCCGCACTTCATAAATGACCATGGTGAGAGGATGAAGTTAAGTCGCTCTGGTGGAAGATAGGACACTTGTGCAAAATGTTGACAGCTGTCGCATCGTTGAACATAATTGGTAGAGTCTGACCTCATGATGGGCCAGCAGTAGCCTATTGTGAGAGCTTGGTTAGCGATGCTACGTCCTCCGACGTGATTGCCACATTCACTTTCGGGTTACTCGGCTCGAACATACTTCGCTTCTTTTGGAGTGATGCATCTAAGATAGGGATTGAAGAATGATCTCTTTAGCAATTGGCCGTCGTGAATGGTGAACCTGGCTGCCTTCTCTTTGAGTCGGTGCGCTTCGTTCTTGTCGATTGGAAACTCGTCATCTATCAAGTAGCAAAGAACATGTGTCATCCATGAGTCGGCTATGTCGATAGCAGATACTTTAGATGAAGGGTTCTTCCACACTGCTAGCCACTGGAGATAGACGAGTAGGATTATTTGTTCTCACTCCTTGGTATTTAAGTTATAATGAACTCTTCAAACTTTTGAATTGATTTATGAGGCTTACCAAGACTATGAGTAGGACTTAAATAACAACACTCATATACGGGCTCAAAAAGCGTCGATCAACCTTAAAAATAAAAATGCATGGTTGGGCCTCTTTCACAAAAATGACCATCAATAACATATAGACTTGAAATATTAATATAATTTTTAAACCATTTATTATTGAAATTTAATGGTGATAATAGAGAAAATTATTTTTTACATTAACTCGAAACTTTAATGCCAATGTATTACAATGGATAATACATATTTTAAATTATTTAACTTAAAAAAAATTAAAGAATTGAAAGTTTTAAATGATTGCAAATTTAAATGAATAAAATATGATAATAAAAACAATATTACATTTACAACTTAATTTTACAAACTCTCTTTCGTGATGAAATCATGATTGTTTGTAATTAGTGAATATATAATAAATTTTAATTATCTAATTATGAATTAATTAATTATAAATTAACATTTTAGAATTATAAAAGAAAATTTATAAGATTAAACTATGAATAATCCTCTGTATTGAAAAAACAAGTGAGGGTACAATCAATACACGAAACGTATTTACACATAAATTTTTTTCTCTCCCTATCTCTCCTCTCTCTTTCTCGAAATCCATCAACAGTTCCCAAGTCTCCCACACAAAACACATTACCTTACACACACTGTAAAAAAGAGAAGAAAAAAATAAATAAAAACAAAATCAAATCAAGTTCTTAATTCATTTCATTTACCCCCCATCGTCTTCTAGGGTTCCACAACAATGGCCCAAGTCATGAACAACATGGCGGTCGATTCACTCGACCGTCGTCGCGACCGCAAAGACAAATCCTCCACCGCCGACGACACCACCACCAACAACGACAATACCACCGCAACCCAATCCTCTCCCCCACCACCACCTCAACAACAAAATCAACCTCCGCCATCTTCTAGAAGGCGCGATAGAGACTCACGAGAAAGGCGTGATGACCGAGACCTTGACCGTCCACCTAACCGTCGTGGACCTGATTATTATGATAGAAATCGTTCTCCGCCGATGCCTAGAGATAGAGATAGGGATTATAAGAGGCGGGGCACATTGAGTCCTCCTCCGCCTGTTTCGTATAGAGATAGAAGGCACTCGCCGCCGCCGCGAAGGTCGCCTCCTTACAAGCGGTCTAGGAGGGATGATGGAGGTTATGACGGGAGGAGAGGAAGTCCACGTGGCGGTTTTGGACCTGGCGATAGAAGGTAAGGTTTCTTATTTTGGGTAATTGTGTCTTTGATTTAAGAATTTGTTTGGTTAACGGGTAAATGTGGGAATTCCAGTCGTTTATGAGAGCTTGAGGAAGCTAGGCATTGTTGATTTAGCCTTATAATTTTTTTTGAGATGCTTTTTGTTGTTCCAATTGGTTATCTTACTTTACTGTTATGTTTTGGAATGATTCTTGTTGGAAATCAAATAGAAATTTGCCTGGCCATTAAATTATGACGGGTTGTAAGAAAGGTATACTAAGTTGGAGATGTTGATTTTTATATGAATTCCCTATTGAGCGTAAGCGTAACAAATTTTGAGAGGCATTTTAAATTTTTTCTTCCAAATACATATATGAAACAAGTTTTATGGAGAAGTTGATAACTTGTATATGTAGTGTGAAACATATTGATTCTAGTGAAGTTTTGCTGTGATTTCCTCTTATGTCCTCTTAATGAAAGTAGATACAATCTTAAATTAGATCTTCATACTCATAATTAGGTGGGAGAATGCCAATATGAAATCAACTTAGAAGATGGATTATAAAGGGAAAGGGCAGTTTATGAAGATAATAGAGCCATGATAATCTTGTGGTGAAAGATTTAGGAGATGGAAATATGGGATATAGTCACTGTCTTTGGAAAATATTGGAATACTGCCTACTTCTGAATTTATTTACTTGGTACATGTTGTTGGGTACCTATTCCTGACGTCTTTAGGACCTCCACAATTTATTTTTGACACTAGTGCCTTTTGGAGAGACTAAACATTCTGCTTCTGAGTGAAAAATCTTTTTTTGGCAAAAATGTAGATAGGGTTAAGATTGTAGCAATAAGATATCCCCTCAATCTCCCAATCACTTAATGCATAAAACACTAATATTAAGAAATTGCTTGATCCTGGTCTTGATTTATATATTGTGGAGTTTTTATCTTTGTGGCTATAGTTGAGATGTAAAATATGCAGCCTTGATAAGCACAGTGATAAACAATTCATAGGAAATGGTGGTCAAATAGTTATTAAGTTAGAAAATTAAGAGACTTAAAAAAGAAAAAAAAAAAGTGCTTACTTTTATACATAGCTAGAGGAAGAAGCTTGACTACATGGGATGATTATTAGCAGCTCTGTGCCCCTGGATCGTACAAGAAAAATGAATGTTCTTCTGTAATTTGTGGCATCACAAGCTATGTAGAGGCTTTTAATACATTTTGTTTTTTTTGGAATTTCCTCGATTATGGTTTCCTGAAAGAATTTGTTGATACTGTTTAAAGTCATGATTATATTAAATTTATGTCATGGAGCGTCTGGTTCATATCCTTGATAGATCTTTTAGTGTGAGACTCCTTCACATACTTTACACAAATTTTATTTCAAATGTCTGCTAGATTCATCTGACAAGTTGAGAGAAATTTTTCCAGCTGTTGCAACCTCCATGAACTGACTATTGCATCTTTTTCCTGTGATATGTCTCTACCACCTTTTCCGCTTATTTATGTTGTTTGCATTTCTTGTAGCCGAGCTATAGTACCTTGGGGCTAATCTGATGACATAAATATGATAGTATGCATATTTTGACAATTTTCAGGCATGTAATCAAATGGCCTTTTTAAATTATTGAAAGTATATGGAAAGTGAAAAGGGTGTTTAGATGAGTTTCACTGGCAGTGTTAAGTTTATTGGTTTGTAGGGGTTGGAATAATGGTAACTTTTGGTTCTGAAAGTTATTACAGAAGAAAATGACTAAATGAAATCAGTTTATAGGACATAAAGCTCCACAGATTTTTTATTTAACAGAGAAAAGAGGTAGTTGTCTTTATGCAGAAGTGCACTGTTTTTACAGAACAAGTGCCTTCTAGTGTTTAGCTGTGGCTCTATATTCTCTGCTCTTTGTGTTCATGCATAGGCTATTCCTTTAATTTTTCTCACAGGATAATTCATTCGGTGTTCCTTCTTCCGCTTCTTATAAAAGGGTATTTTGAATTTAACGTTTTGCTTTGTTAAAAAAATTGTTGAGTATATTAATTTCGCCTTTTGTTGCTATAGGTTTGGGTATGATTATGCTGGTGGATATGAACGTGAGATGGGGGGCAGACCTGGCTATGGTGATGAAAGGCCTCATGGCCGGTACATTGGTCGGCCATCTGGTGGTTATAGTGGTCCTTCAGGTAACTGCTCAACTGCTTTGGAATTGCTACTACTTTAGGTATTCAGATGTATTCTGAAGATTAGCATGTTCTGGAAAAGTTTTCACTAGTGCTTTATTTAATAGTTAGCAAACAAGGAATATGCCTTGCATTTGAGCCTTGAATGCAAGGTGTATTCCTTATTGCTGACTTTTTGTTTTATAACTGATTTAAATATGGCAATATAATTGATTGATGCTTCTTATTTCTGACTTTTTGTCTTAGAACTGATTTAAATATGGTAATATAATTGATTGATGCTTCTTATTTCTGACTTTTTGTCTTAGAACTGATTTAAATATGGTAATATAATTGATTACGGTCTATATTATTCAAAATCTTGGTTCATTTTGTAGGTGTGGTATTTTCTAGTTAAGTAACTTCTTCCCATGTATGTACTGCCTAATTTTATTAGTGCTAGTGCTTTACTCTTGGCTGGATGTAGCCCTGCACATTTATTGCTATAGGATCTACTTTATCAAGTTACTGTTATATGTTTTAAGTTCTTGTTTTCAACTCAAAGCATTTTGTATCTGGTGCAAGATTCACTAGCAGTGGCCAGTTGGAGGTTGTGCTGAAAATTTTTGTCACATGATTTGAAGTATGTTGAAAAGTGTCAAAGTACTTCCATTATCAATTTAATATTGTAAATTTAAATTGTAGAACATATGATATACCCTACTTCTCCAATTGAAATTTGGTGTTCCAAATACTTTTATAACTATAGTATCCACCCATGCACATACAATTATAAGAGAAGCATTTTCATTTGTCTTAAATATGTGCAATGCATTTAGAATTTATTATAGGGTTATGCTATAGAAAATTAAATGTTGGAATTTAAATTTTTTAGTTACTGTAGCCTAAGTCTTTAATATATAACTTCATATGTGTTGATCTTATATAACTTGTAGTCTAAGTCTTTGCTTACGAGTAGCTCATTGGAATTTCATAATTTATTTCTTAAGATTATTTTGAGGACTGAGTTTGGGGCACAGATTGCCTGGAATGGTTTGATTTTAATGTTTAATAGGAGTTACATAATGCTTGAAAATTGATGCACACCGCATTTCGAAAACCTGTTAGACGTATACCATAGTTTTTACACCAATATCTTTGGAATCCATTACACGAAGAATTTTAATTTGCATATATTCATGAGATCCCCAAATGAAATATGCATTATGTTTTTAGAAATTTAACTTGTTGGTCAATTTTTATTTGGCGTGTCAGCATATATATATATATATATATATATATATATAGAACACCTCATCTTATTTGTTAAAGTAGAACTTATTGGGTTCTCTAACTTTGTAGAATGGGATTCAGGTCGTGGTGGTTACAGTGATGTTCCTAACGCAGGGAGTGCTCAAAGGTTAGAATTGATGTTGTTAATGGACTTTAATATTTCTTGAGGTTTGATTTATCCTTTATTTGATCATTCCTGCATGGTGTTCCTTCTGTTCCCATTGTTTCTTAATTCAGTTTGGTCTAATTCTCTTTTCATCTCATTTCTTTATCAACTATTCTCGACTCACACACAAATGCATACCTTGTTTTCAATTCAATGAAGAGGGGATTTTAGTGGACTATTGGAACCTTATTTTTTGCACTAATTAATGTGACATATTATGTAATTTTTATCAGGGAAGGCTTGATGTCCTACAAGCAATTTATTCAGGAGCTTGAAGATGATATACTTCCTGCTGAAGCAGAGCGCAGGTACAGAATGCTGACTGTTTCAGTTGCTCTAGAGTTAGATTGTGCTCTATACTTGTGACCTCAAGTTTTTAAAAGAGAAATAATAAATGAAGTGACTTTGGCCCCTGATTTTGTAGATATCAAGAATACAAGTCAGAATATATTTCAACTCAGAAGCGAGTTTTCTTTGATGCTCATAAGGATGAGGAATGGTACTCTTCATCAATTCTTTAATTCCTACCTTTTCTTTTCTTGTCATATTGCTAATTGATTGTGCTTGTGTACATAGGTTGAAGGACAAATATCACCCAACTAATTTACTTTCAGTCATAGAAAGGTGAGCTTTACTGCCTGTTTGATGATGATTGGAATTCCTTAAGTTGAAAGTAGGCTGATAAAATTGTGAGGCTCCTTATTTTTATGGGTGTTGGCTTTGTATGGCTCTCCTTTTAAAAACACCTATTTCTATCTTATATCATGCTGATATTCAGCTAATCATATTGGGGAGTTTCTTTTTAGGAGGAATGAACTTGCACGGAAGGTTGCAAAAGAGTTCTTGCTAGATTTACAGAGTGGGACGTTGGACTTGTAAGAGCTGCACTTCCCTGATTATTTTCATACTTGTGTCAAGTTTACTTCATTTTTGTGACTGTAAGCTTATAGTTACTTTTATGATGCAGAGGTCCTGGTGTAAATGCCTCGTCATCAAATAAATCTGGACAGACTAGTGATCCAAATTCTGATGATGAAGCAGATGCTGGTGGTAAAAGAAGACGGCATGGTCGGGGACCTGCTAAAGAAACTGATCTTTTATCTGCTGCTCCTAAGGCACACCCAGTCTGCTCAGAACCTAGAAGAATCCAAGTTGATATTGAACAAGCACAGGCTCTTGTACGCAAACTTGATTCAGAGAAAGGAATTGAGGAAAATATCTTATGTGGATCTGATAACGATAAAATGAGTCGGGAGAAATCCCATGGTGGCTCTACTGGTCCAGTTATTATCATAAGGGGTTTGACCTCTGTCAAGGGCTTGGAGGGTGTTGAACTTCTGGACACACTTATTACTTATATGTGGCGCATCCATGGTGTGGATTATTATGGGATGGTTGAAACAAGTGAAGCAAAGGGTCTCAGACATGTTAGAGTAGACGGAAAAAGTAGTGACTTAGGTAGTAATGGGTCTGAGTGGGAAAAGAAACTTGACTCTCGTTGGCAAGAGAGATTGAGGAGTCAAGATCCATTAGAAATAATGACTGCAAAGGACAAGATCGATGCTGCTGCTGTTGATGCTTTGGATCCCTTTGTCCGGAAGATTAGGGATGAAAAGTATGGGTGGAAGTATGGTTGTGGAGCCAAAGGTTGCACAAAGCTTTTTCATGCTGCTGAGTTTGTGCACAAGCATCTTAAACTGAAGCACCCAGAACTTGTGATGGAGCTCACTGTCAAAGTCCGTGAAGAACTGTATTTTCAGAACTACATGAAGTAAGGGTAGTCTTCTAGATATTATGTCGATTTTTTTAATACTTGGTTCTAAAGATACTAAAGTAAATATGTTGATGTCATTAACAGTGATGCAGATGCACCTGGTGGGACACCTGTCATGCAGCAACCTTTACCGGTATGATTTATCCGGTCATTATTAGTCCTGTTCAATCAACCTTGTTTACATTATAGGGAGAGATTTGTAATATGAAGTGGGCCAGCCAGTTTGGCTATATTTACAATGGGCTGGAAATATCGGAATAGGGATGGGACTGAAAGAGTTGAAACTCTACTTTTATAGTATTTCTGCATACTGATTCCAGAGTGCTCTAGTCCTGTTGCTGTTTACTATCTTAAAAGTCTTGCTAATGTCTTACAGGTTCCTTGATTATCTTGTAAACTTCCCTTATTACATGCATGATTAGAAAATTGATTTATCAACAGATAGGGGTGTGGCTATACATGTTAGCATCCACCACAGCAGTTATTTGAGAAGTACAAGAGTTTTGTTCTCAGTTAGTAATAGCTTTTATGTTCAATCATTGCTTTTCATTTTGTTTCAATTTTTTTTTTTCATTGTTTTTAGTTTAAGGATTTGAAAGAAGTATTGTAGTGGTTAGGAAGAATTGATGCCGTGAATAGATACTGCTAGGGATGGATAAACTAGGTTTGGTAAAAGTGAGCCAATATTTGACCATGGTGTTACCAAAGTTAATTTGTATTCTTGTAATAATTGAATATGAAGAAAGAGGGAAGGGATCATAGTTTTTAGTATGACTTTGAGACTGAGTTGAAGAAAGTTTTTCTATCTTTTCTGGTGCCTGGCAGCATAAATGTGTCTTTCCAAGTTTGATGTTGTTAGTTTCATGTTCCTTTTACAGTTTGTAATTAAGGCCTTATTCATTGATATATATGTCTAAGCTCATATATTATGCCTAAAGGTTGTGCACGTTGGTTTGTTGCTATCATATACTGCAACACATATCCACTCTGTTTGAATTGATAATGCATATTATGACTTCTCAAATTTGACTATATATTGAAGTAGACGTTAGACAGCATAAAATATATAACTGCATCCTCCTGATAGAAACCTCTGTTTTTATGACATTATGAATGTTCTTATGTGGGTTTTAATAATGATTAGTATATCTTATAAAAAGAAAATTATTTTTATTACTATCATTGATTGTTAGTTTTTGAAGTTAGTGTTGCTTTATACTTTTTTTTTTTTTATTTGCAGAAGGAAAAACCAATGAGACGCAAGCTAGGTTCAGAGAACCGATTAAAAGATGAACGTGGAAACCGTAGAGAACGTGACTATCGAGCTAATGGTAGTGATAGATATGATAGGTCTGACAATGCTCAATCTAGTGAATTTCCATCCAACAATGATGGTCCTGATGGTGCAAATCGTGATGAATCAATGTTTGATCCTTTTGGAGGAGGCATACGGGTTGGGCCTCCTTTCCCCTCTGATATACCCCCTCCACCGGTATTGATGCCTGTTCCTGGTGCTGGGTAAGTCAACAGTTTGTGATTTATTTGTTTTTATTTGGAAGAGAATCGACAGTAGGTTTTGCCATCTTTCTAGAGAGCTTATATTTGCCTGTAATTGCAGTCCATTGGGGCCTTTTGTCCCTGCGCCACCTGAAGTTGCTATGCGGATGTTTAGAGAACAGGGTGGCCCTCCTCCTTTCGAAGGGGGTGGTAGAAATGGGCGGCCTGGGCCCCAACTAAGTGGACCAGGCCCTATTCTTTTGTCTCCAGGTTTTCGACAGGATCCTCGACGATTAAGAAGGTAAACTTTGTTTAGGTCCTCTACATAATAAACTTAACGAATGTGACGTATGGTTGTATGGTGAAACTATTAGTAAATTGTGAAGTCCAAATGAGAGTAAATTTAGATGGTAGAGAAATTATAGTGATTATTTTTAATGGTGACATCCTTTTATATTTTTGTTTTGTACTTAAGTTCTTCCTGGCTGGGTTTTAATTTTTACAATTATTCCTAGAACAAACTATTGTTACTGATTTGTGCTGTTTTGTAATTTTCATTTGTGATCTAATCTCAGCAATTTGTTAATTTCATGCAGCTACCAAGACCTAGATGCACCAGAGGATGAAGTCACTGTTATAGACTACAGGAGTTTGTAAAGAAGTGGTTGATTGTTGAAAGAATATAAGTTGATATTTTTGGAGGGTCGAGGCAACTCCTGCACTAGCGACAGACGTTAACTTGCAACGGTAAAAGAAACCACATTGTGCTTAGATAATTAGGATGTGAATCTACTGCAGGTTGCTCATGGTTTCTGCCACTGTTGAATGATAGTGCTACTTAGTCCTGCAATGTGTGTTAGACTAGTGATCCAAACTCCAATTTTTTATTCCCCACTCTTTGACTTGACTTGAAAAGAGATTTTCTTTTATGAATTTGGGGTGCGTTTATACTATGGTTAACGTAGTAGATTTTTTATAGTTGCTCATTTGTTTTCCCCCCAATGTTGGTGTTGAATAGATAAACCAAATATTTTGCTTTTCTTTCGACAATAAAGATATTTTGAGGCTAAAACCTTTGTGCATCCTCTGATGAGTAAACTACAGGCAAATGTTATTCTACAGTATTGAGCAGGGACGTAGCCATAAAATTTGCATTTAATAATAATAAAATATTAAATAATTTCCAAAAATATATATATATTAGTGTTCGAAAAATTTAAAGATAGATCTTAATATTTAATATTTCTATAATCAAACTCATTTCAATATTTTAAATGAGTTCTAATGTAAATGAATAACTTTCTTTAGATAGACAATTAATAATTAGATTGTCCTTATTTTAATAATATGATATGAGTCTGATATTTATTATAAAAACTGATCTAGTTAAAACTATATGACTATTGAATAATACAGTTGCAAATAATTAAGTTAATTGATATAATGTATCTCATTGTATGTAAGATACTTGAAAGAGAGAATAATATTTGTTAGAGAATTGTAAGATCTGGTAAGGCGACTGGGTCACAGGGCAACTGATCCAACTGGTTGGACTGATGACATTAGCAACGAAAGTGTTTTTAAAAAATTATCAATTAGTCCCTTAAATTTTAGTATATTAAAAATACCCCTAAAATATTACAAATTAGTCCCTAAAATTAAAGATAATTGAAAATTCCCAAAAAATTCAATTAGTCCCTAATGTTTTGACACATTTTAAAAATACCCATAAAGATTACAAATTAGTCCCCATAAATTTGAAATATAGTAGAAACCCTCTTAAAACCTGAACTGGATCGGATAGGCTGTCGGGTCCCGGTTAGACTAGTCAGTCCAGCTCGGGTTTTAAAACAGTGCTTTTCCCACTCAAATAATGGTCTGATACACCTTACCCATGAACTTTTAAAATACCACTTTGTCACCCAAATCACAATTTCGTTTAGTAAATTTTGTTGTGAAGAAGAGCAGGATGGTCAAAAGTCCATTATAAGTAAGGACACCTAATTCTGGTGATGTCACTAGCAAAGCAAAGACTGGTGAGTTGTCGGCGGAGCAAAGATTGGTAAGTAGCAGGCAATAGGAGAAACTGTTAGTAATTGATCCCCAATAGGCAGTGGAAAAATTAAAAACAAATCGGAAATCAATTATTATTACGCCAAGATCCAAGTATCGATTAGATTGCCTACATGTTAAAACAAAAATTCTGTATAAAATAAAATTAATCCATTCAAAGGATCAAAAATCTTACGCACGTTTGGAAGCTCCTTCAAGCGTCTCTGATTTTATTTCGCTACAGATTCAATATAGTACCGCACGTATGTTGATCCACATGAAGACAATCCAAAGAACCAACCGTTGTTTTACGAGAACAACGGGATGGCTTCAAGAATCAAGTTTTTCAAAGAATCAAGAAGAGAAAAATATTTCTCTTCAATCAATGAGTGGGGACGTGAGAGAGAGAAAAAAGGGTGGCTAGGGTTTTTTTTAATTGAATAATGTTTAATGATATGATGTTTTAATTTTAAGTTTCACTTTATTAAAACTCTATTCCATTAAAGAATGACCATGGGCTCCAACCCTAATCCACCCTTGCAACAAAACACCCTTTAATTGGTATTTTAAATTTTAATTAATTATTACTATAATTAAAAATCAATATATATATATTAACATTTAATTAATAATAATAATCCATTTAAATATACACACACATATATTTAAATATAACCTCACTAATTTTAATTTTAATATTAAAATTAAATACAAGCAACAACCTCAACAAATTTAATTGCACTATGAGATTACCAAAATACCCTTTCATCCTAAAAGATGAACATACCCATTTCACAAAACGATTCTTAAATTATCTTTTAAGTGTGTGACTCATAGGCTCCTTATCATGTCGGCAATGAGTAGTATCGCAATTAACACCAATTAATCGTCTCACTACACACATACCAAGATTGGCCCATAGCAAGGCATCCTGGCCACCTGATAAATTCAGATTCAGCGAAATAGCTACCTACCAACGGTATAGTTACCGTGCAATCAAATCTTTTCATCATACCTTATCTCATCGAGGCTGAGGTACAGAAATAGTGTCAACCTCAGTTATTCTCGATATCTTTGTATTCAGTTACTAAACCAATGACCGGATAAACAAATTAGATTGAGCAACAACTCAATCCCACTGTGGCCATAGATTTAGTGTCATTGCCATTTACTGAATTGTGTAGTGAGATAACTTCTCCTACACCCGGGAGTGATGAATCCTTTGTCGATCCACCATAGTCTTGATACACTCCTCGATGCAGCCAATCATTACCGTATTGATAGCTCTGAATAGAACTACGTTGGGCTAGTGTCAAACTACACCAATCGGTGCACAAGGAACTCCGGTGATCTCAAGTCTAAGAATCACATGCACCACCACTCATTAGAAGATTTATTCCATAGACAATGGGGTTACCATCTATATGGAATCCTATGGTAGGCTGTCTAGTGAACTTGCCTACAACAAGCATCTATACGTTGTACCAAGTTGTCGGCAAACAACCTTGACAAGTGAGATCAGTAACTGTCTTTCGATAGGGTCGTTCAACACTATAATGGTCTTACCATATTATATGTGTCCTTAGTCAGAATAAATACTAGGGCTACGAACATTTCTAAAATGGCCATCATATGTGATCATAGGGTTCTCACTATCGAGATTTAAAACACTTGATACCCTTGTCACTGTTCTACCATCCTAAGGGCATATATCATTACACATAACTATGATTTATACGATATAGAAGACTATGCCTTTTATTGACAAATAAACATTATTACAAAGAGTCAATTTTACAATAATTGATTGGTTCTAGGACACCTACTCTAACAGAAACAACAAAAAAACATTCAATCAACGCAAAACAACACTTCAAAACTAATCGGTACGGCTCGACGCTTTCATAATCCTTTTTTTTTACTTCCTTTAGTTCTTCTTATAATTTTTTTTTAAGTTTCACTTCTTTCGCCTATCCACCATCCCACTTTTCATGTTTCGAGCCTTTGTTCGTTCATAATAGCGACCATGTTCGGCATCGAAAATCAACATTGAGATCATCATCAGCAACACCATCACTTGCTCTTCAAAACCCAACCATGCACCAACCACCCCTACTTGCCGATTACCACCTATAGAGCCATGGTTGTTTTGTTTTTCGAGATTTTCTTGCTATGGTTTGATTGCTTGACATTGATGGAGTAGTCTTCAGTTTTTTTGAAGGTTGGGTTTTGTTTGGTCATTTATTTGGAGTATTCTTGTGTTTTTTTGTGGTCGGATTAACCTTACTAATCACTGCTGTTCACCCCCAATGCAGCTTGTACACCACTTATTCGTTAACAATTTCCACCTAGCTAACTTTCCTCTGCTGATTTTGAAACAATCGTTTCCAATGATTGGAGACCTATCACAATCCAAATTATTAGGGCTAGTGAAGAGGGATGACCAGTGATTCACTTGGTAGTGGAAGGTGGGATTTTGGTGGTTGGAGTCGATAGAAATCATGCAAGAGAGGGCGGCGGTGCTTCCACAAAAATTCACAGATGCTGACGAATGGTGGGTTCGATGAGGATGGTGGAAGATGGGTTTTGATGAGGGAGCACAAGGAACAAGATGGTGGTGTTGTGGAGTTGCAACAATGCCGGAATTGGCTGGCGGCGCAAAAACGACAATTGCAATTAGAGGGGGGGNGATTCAAATCTTCTCTTAACCCTAAGCATAAACTTCATAAGAACTCAACTTTTACACAAATAAATCATAGATAAAGAGCATGAATTCTTACCTTTTGATGCCTAGAATCAAAACCCTATGAAAATCTACTCAAAAGCCCTCAAATTCCTTGGAGAAGTGAATGAAAATTTGAGAGAAAATGGAGGAGGAGAGTGGCGGTGGAATGAAGGAAATAAGGGTTACAAACCCTTATCATCTTATTTTATAAATATGCTTTCCCATTTTGCCCTTACACTTTTTTGGAAATTCCATCCTTGTCCCTTAGTCAAGTACCATAATGCCCTCATTTTTATTGTATTCTTTATGAAATTCTATCTCTTTTCACTCCCCACAATTTTAACTAATTTTGAGTGAAAAGACTATTTTACCCTTAATACAAGTTTAAGGCATTTTCTTCATATTCTCTTAAAAAAATTCTAAAAAAATTAACTAAGGGCTATAAAACATAATTTAAATCATGTACCTCCATGTTGGGTGTTACATAGGGCTAGTGAAGAGGGATGACCAATGATTCACTTGGTAGTGGAAGGTGGGATTTTTGTGGTTGGAATCGATAGAAATCATGCAAGAGAGGGCGGCAGCGCTTGCACAAAAATTCGCAGATGTCAGCGAATGGTGGGTTCGATGAGGATGGTGGAAGATGGGTTTTGATGAGGGAGGCACAGGGACAAGATGGTTGTGTCGTGGAGTCGCAACAATGCCGAAATCGGTTAGTGGTGCAAAAACAACAATTGCAATTAGAGGAGGGGAGATGAAGAAGAAGAAGAAGAAGATGGAAGTGATTGTGGGTGGGGGTGAGATGGGTTTTGGTGAGAGGATAGATGCAAGTGAGTTGAATAGTGGTGATGGGGTTGATTTCTGATGGACTCAAGCAAGCTTAAAGGAGCTAGATATTTGTTTTAACGAATTCATCAAAGGGTTTGTCTTTGTTAAAAACGATTATGAGCCCTGTGTATATAAGAAAGTCAGTGGGAGCGTAGTTGAATTCTTGGTGTTGTATGTTCGCGACATACTTCTATTGGGAATGATATATCGAACATGCAATCAATAAAGACTTGGCTATCCAAGTGCTTCTCCATAAAAAACTTAAGAGAAGTAGCCTACATCTTTAGTATTAAGATCTGTCGAGATAGATCGCGTAGGTTGCTTTGTCCCAAGTCAGAGTACATACATTGACAAAGTGTTGAAAAGATTCAGCATG